ACGTTGTTGTTGATGTAATGTTGTTGTTGATGTAATGTTGTTGTTGATGTAATGTTGCTGTTGTTGTTGTAATGTTGTTGCTGTTGTTGTATTGTTTGTTATGCTGTGTATATATGTCTGCATGCGTGTATGTATATTTTTGTGTGTGTGTGTGATTTGTGATAATTCAACGTGATTATGCAAACAAGGGAGGATTTACATAGTAGGGCAGAGCAGTCTCGATTACGTGTGTTGCAATTGGAGGAGGAGATGAGGATGTACCAAATGGAACTGTTGCAGTTCAACGAGAAGGTGAGGTCGCCTCGCTTACTGTGGCTAAATAGATAAATAATTCAACTCGTTCGTTGTGGTGTTGTTTGTTGTAACGTTGCTGTTGATGTAATGTCGTTGTTGTTGTAATGTTGTATGTGGTTGTTTGTTGTTGTTGTTGTGTTGTTTGTTATGTGGTGTATATGGGCTTTGGTGGTTGTGGTGGTCGTTTGTGGTTGGTTGTGGTTGTTTGTGGATGTTGTGGTCGCTGTTATTGTAGCGGCTGTTTTTTTGTCGCTAGACTGGTGGTGTCGATTTTATAGATAGCAATCCAATGAATCGCTGAAGTTATTGGCGAAAAATAGAAATATATGGTTACAGTAAATGACATTAATAATTGTTCTCACAAACAATGAACCTTTATTCACGACGGTTTTATTTCCCTACCTCTCCACTTGCCAGCAATTGCAACATGCTGACCACCTCGCGAAGAGAAGACTAGCCGAGAAGAAGGAAGCAGCATGCAAGGAAAGACTGGAGAAGGAAAAAATTCATCGTAACAATTATAAAAGGTTTGATATTTTTTTTGTTATTTTTAAAGGAGAATTTTAAATTTAATTTTGTTTAATTTAAATTTAATTTTATTTTTGAAGAATTTTAAAATGACCAAATTTTTTAGAAATTTTGGTCTTATCGGTCAGTTAAATCTTTAAAAATTGGGTTCTATGAATTTACTTGATTGATTGATTAATTGATTGATTAATTGATTGATTAATTAATTGATTAATTGATTGATTAATTGATTGATTAATTAATTGATTAATTAATTGATTAATTGTTTGATTGATTAATTAATTAATTGATTGATCGTCAAGTTTCTAACTTCCTAATTATGTTGAAATGACTTTATTTTTTTTAACACATCAAAAATCTTCAAGTTTTTCGAACTTAGAAAGAAATGTTTAAAAATTAATATAATCCGCGACGCTATTCAAATTCCCTGACGGATAAACACACTTCGTTTCCGGCAGATTGGCAGAGGAGGAAGACAGAAGGAACGCCGAGATGGAGAGGATGATAGCATCGAAGGATCTCAAAGTCGAGCTACTCATGAAAGAAAAGCAGGAGGCAATAGCTAGGGTCTGATTTTTTAAAACTTATTTCACAAAACTATAAAGAATTTTTTTGGTTAATTATTTTAGACAGTTTTATTTTATTATAATTTAAGCAATTTATGAGTAATTTTATTGTAATCTGTGTCTGATGTTAATAAAGCAAGTATTCTTTTACCCTCGGATATCGGTTTAGCTTTTAGCTACACTTTCATCACCATTTTAATATCAATAGTTTCGAAATCACATCATTAACAACAATATATTTACAACAACTGTCTTATTATAACTTCATCCTCACAACCATCACATCATAACTTCATCCTCACAACCATCACCATTTCGATCACCATTTTGATCGCCATCATCCAACTCACCACAACAACCACCACTTCATCCGGCAGAATCGAGCCAAGGCGCAGGCTTCGCAGATGATGCGTGAGCAAGTACGCAACAGCAGTAGTCTCCAGACGACGGTCAAAAGGCTGAACGATCTGCAAGACAGACAGCAACACCTCTTCAACTACACCTACACCAGCAACAACAACAACAGCAGCAGTCTATACTACCAACAACCGCAACCAAAAAAACTCGGCAACGGTAGCGGCAGGTCTTCTGAGACTAACTCTTTATTCTCTTATGCAATTTCACCGTCTCAGCAACAGAACCAACGCAACACTTACACTGAAAATTCTAAAAATATTGATGATTCCTATAACTTCGACGCCAGTGACGATGCCAATGACACCTTAACTTTTAGAAATAACTCACTGAAATATACGCGCGACGGCTGTGATGATTATGAAGATCAAAATGTTGATGACGACCTCAATGATTACGACTTGAACGCTTACAATGACGATGTTAGCTACAGATGATACCGCTAGCAGAACTTACGAAGAATTTGGCAATTTGATTTAGAAAGACGGCTGTAGAGATAAGACTTGTTTGGTGTAATTATTTTGAATACATTTGAAGAAATGAGATAGATGTTATTATGATCCCTAAGATATTGTTATAATGTACTATTGGAGCGCTTGATGTTTTGAAACGCAATCAAAATTGTATGAAATTTGTATCTATATTAAATTTTAAAACTTACACACATGCTTACTTAAAAGTACAGATATCTTACTACATTTTAACTGAAAATAACCATAGGGCTTGTTGCATTTTTAAATAACTCGCTATTATTTTGAGTAGGTATTTGCTTGGTTCGTTATTTGTAAAACATTTCAGAAAAATGAACTGAAAAGTTGTTCATCGATAAAAGAAGTCTAAATTCAAATACTAGAAAATAATAAAACACTCTTAAAAAATATATGAGGCCATTGTAAAAACGAAATGTAAATAATACGTAAAACCTAGCGTGTCTGTATATCATCCTTAATGATATCCAATAATCTAACATTTTGATACTATGGATATCTATGTTTTGATACCTGCCTGCTAACATGTTGATCGATCAATATTTTGTTACCTTCTAACAGGTTGTGATACTATGGATATGTATATCTCGATACCTTCTAACATGTTGGTTGATATTATAGATATGTATATCTCGATACATTCTAGCATGTTGATATTATGGATATGTATATCTCGATACCTTCTAGCATGTTGATATTATGGATATGTATATCTCGATACCTTCTAACATGTTGAAATTATGGATATTTTGATGAACACCGCGAATTTTCAAATTTACCAATTTAAGCCGAACCAGAGTGGAGTAGTAGTCAAATAAAGAAAGACGAGATACACTTGTCGTAGATTTACTCATAATCAAATAGTGGTTCGTTAGAGACAATTATTTTTATTTTGGATACGAATTTTCTTGAATGTTGCAGGATAATGTGATTCTTTAATGGTTTGTTTGTTTGAAATTTGATTCGAGTAGATGATAAAATGTTTTTTTATGAAATAATTGAACTTGAGTTATGTACATTCAAGTTGTTCTAGCTCTAATCAGCTAGTCTATTGTCCAATAAATGTTTATTGGACGATAGATAAGTTTGTTATTTGATAGAATTGATGATATGCTTTAGAAATGATGTTGTCCAATAAATGTTTATTACACTATGTCATTGTTATCTGATGTAAAGTTTATGGAGTGTTAATGGAAAAGACGTTGTAAATTCATTAATGATCGTAAACATTCCTTCTTCTAACTTTACAGTGATGTCACAATAACTTAAACACGCTAGTCGATTCTTTTATGACAACTACGAACATGCCTTGTTGTCGAGGACTCTCATTTTAGAACGCAAGTATATAAAGGACGCACGAGATTACGTGTTGTTAGAAAATTTCTTCATCTCCTAAAACGAAGCCTAATTTAGCTTAAAAATTTCATTTAGTAAAAGTTTGAAGATGTCTAGGCCATTATTCCCTGGTAGACCAAGGCGAACTCGTGGAACGCTGGTAAATAGCAACATGTGGTATGAGAGGGCTTCAGATATCGAGACAGATAATATCAAAAAAGCAAAGAATCAGCTGGAAAATTTTTACAAAATTTCTTCCGATTTTGATGATGTGAGTTGAATCATTATTTTTCTTAAATTTTTTACCATATTCCGATAAATGATTTTCATATAATAATTTTATTTTTCGAATTATTTCATAGGCATTATTCGTTGGATTCCAAAAGGATGAAGTTGAAGAATGCAGAAACAGACTGAATTTAAAAAGCTTTGACAACGTTATAAGCGTAAACCAGGAAAAAGTATCGTTTGGGCCGGTATCGAGTACGCCTAAAGTTAAAAAAGTTGCCAGGAAACTTCAATCTCCACAATTTACTGACGATGACCCTCAAGACAACGAGACAGACGATAACGACAGCGACGACAAACCTGCCGAACAGCATACAAAAAATGGTTACATTTTACATTGTTCTATAAAAATTGAACATACTTTAATTAATTTTAATTAATCGATAATAAAAGAATAAAACGTTTATATTTTTCAGATAAGAAAAACTGCGACGATAAGAAAAAGGTAAAGAAATCTACGAGGAAGTTGGAAAAACCGTCAAATGATGGTGGTGGTGAAACGTGTAAGCAATCGAACCAGGGAACCACTGATACAAACATACCAACAACGTCTAAGAAAAAAGGTTAAATTCATACTAATATTTTTCACTTTATCAACTAATTTTCATACTAAGTTACTATAATATTTCATTATGATTTAATTACCATACAAGTACTGTTTGTTTTTTACAAATTGTTTTACTAGCACCAATCAACTTAATCACAAATTTTAATTTTTATACAGATGAAAAAAAACGTGATGGTGGAAAGAGGAAAAAGAAGGAATCAGCTGGAAAAGTAGGCAAACCACCAAGGGATGTTAACCAAGTAAATAATGAACTATATCAACGAGTGGTAAATAATCTAGATAATATGATGCTGCAGAATTTGGACAATCTCAAAGACATCTCCGAAGAACAACTCAGAGATCCTCGACTTCTGGAAATTATTTTACAGAATTTAAAAAAATGAGACATGTCCAATAAATGTTTATTACGCTTATTGTTGTCTGATGTAAAGTTTAAAATACCGTTGGCGTCTGTTTTTGAACAACTGGATTCAAGGCAAAAACGCACTTTCTTTAGCAAAAATTTTTAGTTAATACGAAACCCTACTCTAAAAAATTGACAAAAAACGAATAATATATATAGCATCATTTATTTTCGCAAATATATTTATATATATATCCCAATAAAATCTTATTCCGCACATGATACATAAAAGCATACAATATAATTTTATATAACGCCTAAGTTTCAAAGTTCGTGTTTACAGCTTGACGAATGAGCATGCATGTGCTCTATTACAGGGGTTTCGATCAAAATAAACATTTCTGTAAATAGCACAGGCTATAAAGTATTATGTAAAATGTTTTGTTGTAAACATTTTTTGATAATTTCATAAAAAAAGTCTAATATTTGAACTGACCAGCAATGAGTTATTTATTTTCAACGCTGTTTCTAGCCGTTCTGATGATTGCATGTCTGCACAATACGTCAGAAGCAGTCAGGTGTTATCAGTGTAGCCCTGACACTGGAGGATGCTCAGATCCTTTCGATCCACAATTTCCTGGCGTCACCATCTGCACCGGCCTCTATTGCACAAAGCTCAAAGTTTTGTACCATAGTTGGTTTTAGTAAATGTTGTCATTTTTTAGAAACATTTAATTTTAAAATCCACATTTATATTAAAATATCTAATAAATATAATTTCAGTGTGGTTATAGGCAAAGATGTATAATTTTATGTAGCTGATGTTGTTTAAAATCAGATATCCGATTATTTAATATGAAATTATTAAATTTACTTGTTATAGTTAAAAAGTGAAAAATGTGACTAGTAAGTATGTACTTCAATTAGTATTCTAATAAAATAAATGACTGCGCTGACGTGGTGTTAACAATGAGGATGGATTTGTTTCTTGAGTACGCTCTGATCACATGAAGTCTGAGAGCAGGTTTACATGCAGATAAAAAAGTCATTGACAAGATGTTGAAACCAAAATAATTTTGCTTCATTAACAGTAAATATGCGTTTTACAATTGAACCTAATCAATCGACTATAGACATGAATAGACATTTTAGGTAAACTCAAAAGCGACTTCTGAAAGTGTAAATGTATCCAATCTATAAATATATCTTGTATATCTTCTATCAAGATAAATATATAGTCTGCATATACCACGGCCACAAACCATTATTTTTCCATTAGGATTTTTGGTTCAATTCCGATTCGAGATCTTGGTGTGTTGGTTAAACAATCAAATTTTTGTTGAATACTGATCTAAAAGCGATTTGAAACGTGATGATTTATTAGAACGTCTATTAATAAATATTAATTTCTAGGAGTTATAGTTCATTTCTGTTTTACTGAATTAATGTTAATAATCCTTGGACAGAAACAGACATACACAGACTGTGTGTAAATGATACAAGTATTGAAGGGTGTGAACATCAAAGCGATGGCAATACCAACACGGACAGCATCGGATGCGTTTGTTCAACAGATATGTGCAACTCCTCCAAACTTATCAAGTCGAATTCTATGTTTTTTATTTCTATTGTTGGTTTGGTACTGTTACGGTTGTAGTTTTGAATGTGTATAATTGTATTTTCCTAGCAATTGTTTTAATTTTTTTTTGCTTTATTCATAAGTGAGACGTTATCATTACAATTATAAAATCTATGCAGTTTTGGGAAGAGATTTTTGGCTGTATATAAATTAAGTTGAGATTTTGATTAAAGCTATGTTTGCCCAAGTTGTTTTTAAATTCTAATTTTTTTTTACACAAAAGAAAGTTGTTTTCTGTATAAATTTAATGATATTTGTTTTAAAATTTGTTTACAATTTTCCCTAACTTTTTACTAAACAAAACATACAAATCATACTTTACTAAGTGTAAATGTAACAATATTTTTAGAAAAATTATCTCGACAAAATATTTTTAGAAAAAGATCAACAATATTTGACGTCTGCAAATATTTTCTATTTCACAGCTTGTTGCTTTCATTAGCCATTTTTTATGTCACTCAAATATGTTTCGTGGTTAACTATCATCTGGTCATTCGTGCAATATTGGTTTATTTAAATTTTAATAAATTATTTTATTAATTATCAACAAAATTTTTAACAGACCAACACATAGCTAAGCTACTTGGTAAGTTTTATTGATATAGTATCTCTTTTCAAGAATAATTTTATTTAGGTATATGTTTATCACATAGGTAGTTTAAACAATATAACCGACGATATAGAGAATACTAAATGACTTTTTATTTATGATCTAAAGTTTCTGTAAATAACTTTTTCCCCTGAGAAGTCTAACATAACGCTGCAATGTGATAACATCACAAAATGATGGCATTACGACGTAATAACATTAACAATATAAGTAGCCCAGTTAGTTAGCTATTAATGTATTTTTGAGACCACAACATATGGGCTTAAATAAGCTACGTATTTCTTGCAAACTATAGTTTACTTAATTATAATTATAAATAGAAAAGATATGACCAAACGTTTTCTCGGTTTTTCCAAGCAAAGTTGGATTTAAAAATAATTACAATTTCCAAACCGGCAAAGGTCAAAAGGTCATTCGGGATGATGAAACAAAAGTTTGAACACAATATTATTGCGGTACTGAGTTATTTTAGTGCAATCATCCCGGATTTGTGTCGGACATCTGAAATTGTTAGGCAGACCATTGGAGACATGAACGCCGCGTAAATGCCCGTGAAGAACATTCCGTGTTGTATAATAGCACCGCCAGCAGTACTCACTGAAATAAGATGGTATCTTGTTTTTCTGCAGATTCCGAAAAAAAATGGTTATGTTTTGTCAGTGTCTATTTACTAATATTTAGTGTAGTGGTTAAAACGCCTGGTTCTGCTATCGCAGTGACCCGGTTTGAATGCAAATGATTGACTCTTGTTATATGCATAGATTCACCTAAATTCACATTCACCACGTGGAACCTTCGAGAAATATTAATAATGTAATGTGTAATTTTATAATTATTAATAGTAAATATATATAATCATAATAATATAAATAGCAACATTACTATAACAAGTGACCTTCAAATGGAGAATGGTCGTCTTCCAACTCGGATAGGCGGATATTCCGGCATTAAATCCTGTAGGAAAAAGAAAATAAATTTTTTTTAAGATTTTCTGTAAATCATTTTTTCATACAAAGTCTTGCATAGCATCAAAAACGTAATCACATTACAGTATGATAACACCACAACATGATGACATTATGATGCAATAACATTAACAATATCAGTAGCTCAATCAGTAAGTTAACAAGCTAATAAGAAAGTCCTAGCTTGAAAGCATGGTTAAATATGCGTCATTATTATTTTAAAAAGAATTAATATAGGCTAGTAAATTAACAATGGATTATATGTTAGCAAAAGTTTTCGACAAAACCTATAACTAGATCTGGTTTGTCAATGCCGACAATATCATGATACAATTGATATATGAACTTCACTTCAATCTTTCCATTGGTATCAAGTATCTTGGTTGTCTGTGCGTTGTCTGTGATTGAAGAATTGTGCTGCATGTTTGGTCCGATGAAAGACAGTTGAAATTTGAACGATGGGAACAAGTTGAGCAATTCCTGTATCAGTGTGGGAGTTCATTCCCATGAAATGAACATCCAGTTGCAAGGAATGAAATTTATTTTTGTAAAAACATTTTTCAAAACCGAAAATTTGTGAAAAATTAGTATTCAATAAAAAATTTATTCAATACTTTATTTGAAAATTGTTGATATTACTAGAAAAAAAAACATTTTGAATAAATAAAAATGAACAAACGAAAAGAAACAAAAGATGAATTTAACCAACCAAAAATTAAAAATAGCACAAGCACGTAACCCAAGACAGATTTTCCTAATAATTTCATTGAATAAGAGTAAAAAAATGATCTTATTTGGAAAGAAATTCAACAAACATTGAAAGTGTGGATGTATTGGATTTCTGTCTCAACTCCAACAAAGTGTACATTCAATGTCAAACTGCCAGTTGTTATAACCTCTGTAAATGAAATGTTACGACCATTCCCAAGTGTTTCAAGCAAAAAAATGACTTTAAATAATTGTTAATTAAGTAATTACCTTTTTTCTAAATAAATATTAAAAAACAAATGAATTATTTAATTTTACACCAAATTCAGTATAAGAGTAGACACCACTAAACATTTAAAAAAATTATTTTCTTTTATTTTTATTTTATTTTCTAACTTTTTTAAAACATCAACCAAAAAATTACAAAACTTTATATTAATTACATGTTTGGGATAGAGTTAAAAGTCAGACTTAAAACAAATTTATACCTAAATAAAATTTCTGGGAAATATTAAAAAGATATAGCATGGCCAACCAGTTTGAAGAAAGTGTCTCAAAATGAAATAAGCTGTCATGACCCAGTGGTATTTCTTAGACACGTCACCACTGTTTTCAGGCAGCAGATTTTTGAAATTAAAAAAACCTTTCCAGTTCTCCAGCTGAACATATGGTCTCACTGTCTGATCCCATGATGTAACAGGACTTTCTGTTGTGATAAAAAAAATGAGATTTGTAGACATAGATTGACCAACAATATGCAACTAATTTAAATGTATTAATGATTTAAAAAATACACTTATATGAGCACACACACACACACACACACACACACACACACACACACACACACACACACACACACACACATAAGCAAAGACCCCCACACATATATGAAAACACACACACCCACATGTGGACATACCATACAGAAATACATAGGTACACACACACACAGACACACATTGTACATTATTATTATTACAGTATTACATTGTATTACTTTACCAGTGTTAAAGAAGCTTTTTTCATAAAATTCCTGGAGCTGGAGTGACTGAAAAACATCCACACACCATTCTCCATGCTGAATTCTGTTGAGAGTTCGACATTCATCAGAGCAGTAGTAGATTAACTTGCAGGATTCACTTTTGTGTGGTGCATACATTACATAGGATATTATTTACTTTACTTCATTTCATTCATTCATTCATTCAATCAATCATTCATTCATTCAATCAATCATTCATTCATTCACTCAATTATAATATAACTTTTTAATTGAAAACTTACTGACCATGTAACATGACCTTCAAAATTTTTCCTCAAACAATGGAAACAACCAACCATTCGTTGAAATTAAGATTCACTAAATTTCGTTTAAAATTAACAACATTTTTCTATGACAAAAATAAAAAACCGTCGAAAAATTGCGTGTAAAAGTTAATTTACGCTTAAAAGTAAACAAATTTTTTTTATCTACAGAAAGCCAGTACATTTTAGCAATGCAAAAAACATTTCAACAACACATAAACTTAAAATATTTATGATTCTAAGTATTCGATTGTAACCGTAACCATTTATGATTCTAAATATTCAATTGTAACTGATTTTACAGGTACGATTATGTTGTTAATTAAGAGTATATTATTTCATATTGCACAAATTATCAAATTGTAAATTTTAAAGACGAGGTGATGACATAAAAGATATAAATGTACTCGTAGATATATTTCAACACTTAAAATACTGTCAAAATTTTATTCAAATATATATAAAATTTATTATAAAATAATTAATTAATTAATCAATAACTGGGTTCTCTTGTTCTATCTCGAGTTTGTTCTGTTTGAATAGGATTAAGAGGTAAATAGTAGAACAGGTGATTGATCCAATTGCTAGTCGACAGTTCAATATACTTGGGTACCTTCCATAAGTTGTTTTCGTTGACGGGCAATGTGTTTTCTTCCACTTTAACTAATATATCCAACAGGATTATCGATCTTTTTTGTTTTGGCCGAAGGTCTCGTAGAAGAGATGTTCTCAACTCGAACAAACACTGTGAACTCTCAAGAAAATCTGGCGTCAACAGGCAAACAAATCTTTTACTCGATAAAATTACTTCCTTGATTCTGCCGGCTTCCAGATTTCTACCATCGTAATAAACTTTGTAACCTTTCTCTTCCATTAACCGGACAAGTTTATTGTCTCTTCTATGGTCATGGCGTGAGCAACTAACGAATACATCGTACATCATCTCTTCGCCTTTGCATTCATCTCTATCAAAAGGGTGAATTTTCAAATATTTATTTAACGCTACTTTAAATTTTTTCATCACAAATAACAGCCCAACTGAAACCTGCACAATCACACAAAATGGAATTAAGGTACCCATTAATATCTTACTCTTACGAGTTTCGTAGCACAAAAATCATCATCGACGGAAAATATGTTCTTGTATGATAATTTTTCTGGTGTCCGGCAGAAAATGTAATCTTGGTTTGACAGTATGATATTCCGTTCTGCTAGACCCTTCATCCATGCCTTAAACCAATAATTTTCGCAAGAACAATCCCACGGGTTGTTGTCCAAACTCAAGATCTTAACGTTATGTGTTCCTTTCTTCAAAAATTCCTCCGGAACAGTGGTTAGTAAATTCCCGTGCAAATATAATTCTCGCACTGAGGATATTAATTTGAAATTTTTTAAATTGATTTCTCTTATTTGGTTATAGCTCAGATCAAGTATCAAAGTGTTGCTTAGATAAAATCGATCCTCAATTATTGATATCTTGTTGTGACTAAAGGACAAGTTGTAGTGGTGAGTTGGTAATCGTCCAATGATTTCGTTTTCGAGGGTAGAAACTCTGGCAGATCAAGAAGATTGTAACAATTGACGTTTATGCGATTAAAAAAAGAAACTTCCATGCACGTACATGTATCTGGGCACTGTCTGATTTCACACTGAAATTTTTTCAGAGAAATAGGTGACAGTGCTCCGGAGCGCTCGTCTCGACACCTCGAATCATCAAAAATGTGACTGTTCGGTATTTTATAAAATAAAATTGCAATTTCGTAATCGTTGCAGTCGCAGAAAAATACGTTGTCTCGCAACTCGATGTTTACATTATTTGAACTGTTGCCAGAACCGAGAAGACAAGTAACGTCTGGTGGAGTTGGGAAAAATATGAATAAATTGCCGATGTGTTTTAACAAGTTTTTTGACAGCTTTAAAGTTAAATTTAAAGTTTTAACGTTAGACTGACATTCGTAGAACCATTTTTGCGATTCGTTATTGAGACGATATTATTGTTATTCAGATCAATTATTGTTCCGTTCAGTGATGTTGCTCGAATAAAAATCCACGCATCGACTTCTATCAGAAAGTTGCAACTCAAATCCAACTTTTTGAGCAATAATAAATTATTTGCTTCAGATAAGACGTCGTCTTCTAAGTAACTGATTATATTGTGTGATAAATTAATCTCTTCCAGATTGTTCAAGCCGTCGAATAAACGATTTTTAATGGAGGTTATTTTATTATATTGAAATGTTAATTTTTCAATTTTTTCATTCCGTTGGTGCAGTCAGCATTGCTGCCAGATCGCCATTTGTGAAGGCAAGTTCAGTAACATTTTGAAGAGAACACAGCCCTCTCGGGATTTGAACCAACCTTGGTGTTGTTTTAACAGACAACTTAGTTATGTTGCTATTTTTTGCGACAGCTGCTGAGAAGGCACTTTCAAAACCAAAACCGGAACAGTCACTCAGATAAATAGACTCATCCAATGCAGAACAGAACGTACAACGTAAACTACAATAAACATTTGAATATATAATTTTAAGAAACAAATGAAAAATAAAAAAAATGTGAAACTGGATTTCATGCTTACCATCACTTTAAAATGAAAAACAAAGTTTAACGAAGCATTAAGCTTCTGACAACTTCCTATTAAAGCTGCATTGTGGTAGGTGCTATTGTTTGCTGTTGTAAGTTGTGCTACTCGTTATATTACAAAATTATTTTACATTTGTAGCGACTTTGTGTTCGTGCAGCTCGAACTGCAATCGCTGAACAATGAACTTCGCTTTAATGCTATCTAGCTGTATGATGTTACCTACTTACAATTCGGTGTGTTTTTAAACATTCATTTAAAATTTTGTTGAGTAAATTTTTTTAAGATTAAATTTTTAGGTAAAATTAAATGATCATATACTCACACGATTGTTTTTTGAACAATACAATTTTGCTAACTTCAATACGGCACGGTCTTGAGTGATTTTTACGTGTGCAAAGGCACAATAAAAAAGGAAAAACTTGAAATGATGATTGAGATAAGAAAACAATGAACAAAATTAACTGAAAATGAAAAATAGCTTCTTTAGTTCATGTGCCTTTAATTGTCAAATAATATGAATAAAAATAAAATCGACATTATCAGTTTTATCCATAAGACATACATTTTAAAATTTTGGCTCCATTTTGAGGTTAAACGAAGAAGTAAAGCTTTTGAAATAATAATAAAATTAAATGAAAAATTGAAGTTATAATCAATGAAAATTGTTTATAGCCGAGGTTTTGAATAATTTAAAACAATTAAAAATAGAAAAAATGATAGTTAAAAATATTTTTCATAAAAAAAATAAATCTATTTTATCGGGTAAATGTTAAGTAAATCATAATATTTTGATAATTAAAAATTCATACTTTTTTAAAACTTTTCAAGACATTTTCAACTAAAATTAAACATTTTGATTAATAAGAAGCTAGTTAGAACTAGACTAAATTTAAATTAGCAAAAATTTTCTTCAAAGTTTAGTCAAATTGGTTGATCTACTATTATTATCTTTCTAATTTTAGTTTTATATGTTTTGGTCATGTTTGATATACCCACTGATAAGTTTTGATAAATTCAATGTTGTCTGAATGTTTCATCGTTAAAAAGTTATCAGAGACACATCATCTGTTGCTATCACAGAATTCCTAATCTCTTGAGAAACTTTAGTTTGTATGGGGTTGAGAGGCAGACTGTAGAAGAGCTGATGGGTCCACTTGTTACTCGACAGCTCGATGTAGGTGTGCGTCGTCAGGAAGTTGTAGACATCTTTCGGCAGCACGTCCTCATCCACCTCAACTGATTCATCCAACAAAACTATTAACCTTTTGCGTTTAAGTTCGATATTTCTGTGCAGAGATGTCTGAAATTCAAACATGCAGTAGGTACTTTTGAGAAAATTGGACGTCAAAAGACAAACGACTCTTTTACTGAACGTTACTGCTTCGACGATGTTGACGGCGATTGACTGACCGCCGATGAAATCTTTTTCATGATAGCAGACGTGGTAACCTTTGCCTTCCATCAGACGGACCAGTTCAATTCCTCTCCAGCGGTCTGAATAGGAGCAGCTGACGAATGCATCGTATATCATGTTCTCACCTATGCATTCATCTCTATCGAGCAGATGGATGTTCAGATATGTGTTCAACTCTACTTTGAATTTTTTAATCAACACAAACAGAGCTAATAAAAGCAACACTCCAGTGAGGAGTGGGATTAACAAACTGATGAGTAACCTGCTGGGTTTCGGGCAAAACTCCTCCTCGCTTACGGAGAATAAGCTGCGTCCAAAAAGTGAGCCTGGTGTCCTGCATAGAACGCTGTCAGGTGTCAGCAGAGTGATACTTTGGTTCCATAAGTTCATCATCCATTGCTTCAACCATTTATTTCCGCAAGAACAATCCCACGAGTTGTTGTGTAGGCTGATGTGCTTCAGCATGCGAGAATCGTTCTTCAAAAAATCTCTTGGTACAGTAGTCAAGAAGTTTGAATGCAAATGTAACTCTTGTAAAACTTTGAGAGATTTGAAGACCTGGAGATCTATTTTTGTGATTTTGTTGTAGCTCAGATCCAATACAACCGTGTTGTTGAAATAAAACCGTTTGTCGATCGTTTCAATTGAATTGTAACTGAAAGTTAAATTGTAGTGAAACTTTGAGAACATCCAGGTTTTTGTTTTCACAGGCAACATCACTGGCAGATTGGACATGTGATTGAAATTGCAGTTGATGTACATGCTCTTATAAAATGGGATCTCCCTACATGCGCATCCATCTGGGCACAGATCCATGTCACACTGGAATTCTTCGGAAGGAAGTGCAGTAAACTTAATTCGCGTTATCTGGGATGGTTTTGAACAATGGATTCTGTCATAGATTGAGGAATACAAACTTCGAACAAACTTTATTATTTTATAATCAACGCAATCGCATTGTATCGAGTTGTCATTAAGGCCAATTTCAACATTACTGGAAGTCTTAGAACCAAAAAAGCCAAAAGCATCTAGCATATTTGAAGCGTAAATAGCTACGTCACTGATATGTTTCAGCTGATTATATTCCAAATTCAATTGATAAAATGAAATTTTATTCATGTATTTCTTACAAGTGAAGAACCACTTTTTCCGATTTGAGATGTTAGAAATGCTGTTGCTTTCGAGATTGATAATCGTTCCATCTACCGTTACTGCTCTGACGAAAACCCAGACATCAACATTCGTTAGCGAATTAAAACTCAAATCTATCTTTTTCAGTGATAGAAGATCAGTTTCGTTTGAAAACACATCATCGTGAACTGAGCTGATTTTGTTGTTCTTTAAAATAATCTCTTCAAGATCGTTCAGTCCGTCAAACAAACCTTTTTGCAAATATTCAATTTGATTATTTTGAAAAGATAACTTTCTTAATGTCTTGAGCTTGTTGATGCAACCATCTGGAAGAACTTTCAAACATGAGCTATCAATCGAAAGGTCCAAAATATTTGAGAGAGAACAAATCGCTGAAGGAATTTCACTTAACGGAGAGTTCGTTACGACTAAAGAGGTCATACGACTTTTTATTTTCAAAACTTTAGAAAGCTCATTCTGGAAATTATATTTCTGACGGTTTTGCAACGAGACATCCTGACACTGCTGTCTCATGCAGCCATCCAAACGAATCGACGTCTCGTCTATCTGACAGTTGATGCACGTCTGAAACGCCGATGATGAACAGAGTTCACTCGAATTCGCTGATGGTACATTCCGTGAAATTAAAATCCAAATACAAAATTGAACATTACTGAGCAGCTCAACTGAAAAATTTTTAATCATGTTTGAAATTTGTTCATTTCAACTCAAATAAAGTTCACGTTTAACTTCGACGTTTAACATTATAAAAGTTTTATTATTATCAGCAAGTTATAATTGCAAGCTAACTTCAAATTCATTTATTTTGCAGCAATGAATGCGTTCGAATCATGTGTACAAACTATTATTGACACTGTCAATAATATAATTTAGTTCGTAGGTTCTTGGTTGTCTAGATTATCGTCATGAACAATGCCCTTACGTTCAACTCAACAGTCCATGCAATGCGAATATGTACGCAAATTGGGGCAAGTTCACAAAAGTATTATTGTGTGGTTGTATGCATACTACACACACACACACACACAGATATATATATATATATATATATATATATATATATATTAGGGTGGTTCAAAAAAAATTTTTTTTTAATATTTAAGTGCACACCCCCTATATTTTTTCCTTAGCTGAAAGTTAGCATGTGTGCAAAATTTCATTCAATTCTGACAATATTTAGAGGTTGCTCAATGACATTCAGTTTTTCACCATATTTAGCATATAAGCGAATATTGGTCAGTGCTACAATTTTGTGTTTAATGTTTATTTTGCAGTAAAATGAACAACATTCTTGTGAAAATCATGTAAGATTTAACAGTTCTACAAATTTATACTCAAAATAACAAAATATTCAACACTAAACAAACAGTTCTCACAAGGTAAAGGCAACTTGATTATGCCAAACGAAAGTTCAGTACTGTTAATCTTTGATTGAGAAACTGAAATTAACTTGAGGCAATTAATGTACTCAGTTTATGTTTTTCTGTTAATCACTCATAGTATGTCAGACTCAAAACATAGCAGCAGCTGCTTGAGCACTGGCTAATGTGCGCTTAGTGAGGTCCGGAATACGTGTTCGATTGTCCTCCACCACCTGTATCAGTTTTTGCAGTTCTGTTTCATTTTTGGTTATAGACTGGTTAAAATTTGTCATGAGTGCCACAGTGCGTTCTGCAGTGTCATTAACGACCTTAAGTGACTTCACAACATTTGCTACTTTTTGAAATAAAGAAAGATCATTCCATGAGTCTGGTTCAGTTTCACGCAAGATAGCAACATCCATTCCAAGTGATAACAATGCAGCACGAGATGTACCTGGTACCAGATCATGCAGTGGTTTGCTTTTCACCTGTTCCAGTTCAGTTGCAGGATATTTGACACCTCGCACACTCCAGTCAGAATCTACTGCAGTCATTGCTTCCACAATCAACTGCTTCTCAGCATTTGCAACCTTATTTGAGAACAATGACAGCCAAACCATTTCTGTACCGAGATACCACAGATGATTCTTCAACTTTTTTGTGGCAGCACTTGTTCAATTTTGCTCAGAAGTTGCAGGTCATTGACTGGTGCATCACTGGGTATTGGGCACAACATCCATGCTGGCACATATATATGGGTTGCAAATAGGCAGAATTCAGTAAAACTTTTTGTTTCAGTTGCTGTTAGCTTGAATTCATTGCAGAACAAATACATTTTGAGACAGTAGATCACTTTGGCCATCCATCTGGCCATGTGATATGCTCCAGGAACACGGAAATGGTACTTGCCATCAGTCTGCATTGGATAACCCAGCACTAAGAGACAGAGTTCAACCAACTCCTTGTAATCCTCTCGTGGGATGTATGAGCTGTCAGCTGAAAGAAAACATGTCAAAGATGGTACTATGTCAGACCGCATCATCTGTAGCAATGAGTGGTTCATCCTGTCATCATCAAGTGGCTTGTGGTTTGACTGATTTATATTTGGCCAGTAGGCTCGAAATCTTTCAAACATTCCAATGTTGGGGCCACGGCTTGGACCAAACAGAACTGTGAAAACTTCACCGATTATCAATTCATGTACATGATGACGACAAGCAAAGTGCAAGAGATTTCTATGGAGCAGTTTCTACAGCAAAACACATGCTCCACTTGACGTCCCAGTATTGGCAGCAGTAGTATCAAAGCACATGCCTATAATGTCTTCACTAACGTCCCATAATTTGAGCAACTGAAAAGTTGCATTGGCCTGTGCTTGTCCCGTGCTTGATGCAATTTTAACAATTCCTAAGATTTTCTCCACATTACAGCCAGTCACAACAACAGCCAGTCTATCAGTTCTGGAGTGTGGATCATCATTCATGATCTTCCCATCCTAGTGAACCAGAAGTCACGATCCTGAAATTGTTGACGAATACTGCTGTCAATGGTTGATCGATGTTGCTGTCGTTTACGATGAACTGTGGAACGTGACAGAGATGTATCCCTGATGTCTTGCCCACTAGCTTGTGCAATGGCTGCTGCTAATACTGTGAACTTTCTATCTGACAGGTTTATTCTATCCAGCGCTGAAGCAACATCTGGCGACGACAACATATCCTGCACAGTTTGTGTTTTTTTGCTGGCACTGCTTGACAGACTGTCTTCTACTTCACTGATCTGCTTTTTGTAGTACACTGGAATTTCAATTTCATAGTTGTCCTCGGTGTCCTGCTGTTCACTATCACTGTCATCAGAACTAGATAAATGTAGTGAGGTACTTTCTGTCATCCGCTCCTGCTCTCGCTCTTTTCTCTCTTCTTCTTTGCATTTACGTTGTTCTGTGCGCTCTTCTTTCTTGGTCAGGTCTTTATCAATGCCACTCATTTGCATTCGTCGACTGCTCCTCTGGTCTTCAAGAAATTCTATATCTTCCTGAATTCGGATGAGCTGCATGGCGTGTTGGTGAGCAATATCAAACAGCATGTGCTCCTTTTCTTCAAATTCCTTCTCTCGTGCTCGTTGTGCTTCACTTTGTCTGTTTTTGTTCTTTTTTATTAGCTTGTAGTCATCAACTACCGACTTTACTTTTTCTACAACATGAGTATGGTAGGTTGTTGGTATTCTAGCCTTGTTCCACATGTCCATGACCTTATCTGACGACAGTTTTGCACTTTCAGGCACAGTTTTCTTTTCTACTTGATGATAATAAAAAAACATTCTCAGGACATCACCTGTTGTAGGCAATACATTTACTGGAAGTTCACTTTGTAACTGTCCAATCAGCCATATGTTAGTCATGCTGCGTGTTGTAAGAGCACCACAGTTTGAATTAGAAGCCATTTTATACGTAGTTAAATATGTACAGTACCGGTATTTCAAAATCACCTCAAATTACTAGTAAATCGACACAGTTAAATTATGCAGATATTTATCCTATTTTACTTTTTGCTGACAACAAATATGGTGACCATAGAATATTTAATAATAATAATGCATTTTAAAATATCTAATATCTATGTTTTGAATTAAGTAAGTCACCAACTTTTGATACTTTTCCAGTTATATTTGTATTTGGTTTCGAAATAATGAATTATCACATTTTTATATAATTTTGAGATGCATGAGCAACCTCTAAATTTAATTTGATTTGTCTTATTTTTGGTTTGTAAGTTTTTAGGACCCAATGGAAACTTTTCAGAGGGTGTGCAATCAAATCAGACAAAAAATTTTTTTCCCCATTCAAATGTGAACCATGTATATATATATATATATATATATATATATATATATATATATATATATATATATATATATATATATATATATATATATATATATATATATATATATATATATATATATATATATATATATATATATATATATATATATATATGAAGATATTGTTATGTCATTTCGTGACGTCTTATGTTTTTTCTTGGTAGAGTTTTTGTATTGATAAGTAATATTTTGATTTCATGTGAGGTGTCAAGAAATACATCGCTAACAGTGCTACCTGACAACAGTTGACTTTTTAATCCATGGGCAGGTTTTACGGTTTTGTAACGTTGGATAAATGATGGCTAGAGAGCTTTGACTCGATCGCAAAAATGTTTACCCGACTGCTGAGAGTTGTTTTGTTGCTCACCTCCTTACAAGAGACTTCATTTTAAACATACACCATTTCTAAACGTACTTGCTAATTATAAATTCAATTTTGATAACGCTTGGCGCTATGTTAATCAAAGACAAAAGTTTAATTGTTTAAACAAAGATTTTAGTACAATGAAATTTTCATTAAATCACGACCCATCTGTTTTAAAAATTCATTGAGGAGCGCTGTTGAACTAAATGATTAATAGATCGATTTATTGATTGATTGACTGATTGATTGATTAATAATTAACCATGGATTAATTAACCGCTGATTGACGTGATAGTTAAGGATTCCTAGCTCTCAGCATTAACCTGTTTCGAATACGAAACGAATCCCAAACTAACTATTACATGCCATGTGTGATGTATTTTGATTGTATCTGCGCATTCACTTCTGATGCGCCTGTGTTGAAATTTATGAGTATTACAAAGCAGAAAACGACTTCTAATTTTTTAACCTCGCACACACTTACATTTTGAATGCACACACACACCCACATACACACATAAACCCACACACACACACATTTTTATTAATTTGACATCCAAATATGACACTTTTTACACATACTTGACACTTTTATTAGCAATTTAAAAAAGAATTTTTCAACTACAAATAAATCAATTTTAATTCAATAACATGATTCACTTTTTTTTCAATTATAATGTTAACGAAGTCGGCTAAAAATATTTGAGAGAAAATTTTAATTCAATTATAATTCATTTTAAATAACATAAAATTAAATTAAATTTAAACTAAAAAAAGATTCAATTTCTTTGAGATGTCTTTCAAAAATTCAAAAATATCAAAAATACAACAGCAAAACTAATCCAGATAAAGACATTTCTCCTGAGACTGTCGCTGCAACCGTTGCACAACTCGTATCGGCAGACGCACGACTCGATTTTGTTGCTTTCATCTGACACACATGACGAGGTGAAACCAGGATGGTCTACACATGTTCTGCTTAGAACTGTTCTGTCTAAAAATGTTAACAAAAATTTTATTTTATGGTCTATCTTTTCCTCCGTTTTAGAAATATTTAAATTTCTTAAATGGGTTTCTTTTCAGAGTGTCGGAAATTTATTATGGAAATATAATTTGTTATCTTCGACATTGTTACATAAAAATTTGATAAAAGCAAATTGTGACAATTTAAAAAAAATGTCGTTATTTATTCGACCAGTAAGAATTTCAAAATTGAAATTTCTTAATTCCAAAAAAGACACAGTTTATAGTTATTTGTTTTTGTATCATTTTGTATTATTTATATTGTTTCATTATTTATATTACGAAATATATATATTTATTAAGAAAAAAGTTTAATAGATTTTTGAATAGGAATCGTGATCTCTCGGACCGATAAGTAGTTTAGCGCAGTAGCTTCCAGAACACGTGGCCATTGCAGTTTGGTTTGGATTGAATGGATCCATGCATATTTCCGCGCCAACACACTGGTAGCATGTTAAGGCTGAAGTTTCTTCAACGTTTATAATTGAAATGAGACAGATTTGAAGAGTTAGTTGAAATATAAATGAAGATGACGACAGCGACGATGACAAACGGATAGTCATTCTTTATATATTTCGTTTAACCATACAACTTCAAAATCTCAAGAGGAAATATAAATTACATAAAAAGTTATATCCCAAATAAACTGCACATATCAACCACTTAACATAAACTTATTCAGCACAAACTTACACCTTAAGCTAAAAATATTTCAACAGCAACTTTAAGCCGTGAGCTGTTCATTCAGTAACGTAACGTCTGTTGGTTGTTGTGAGACATGATTAACAATGAACTAACAGTGTAAACCGTAACAATGTTTTCTGAATTTGAAGACAGGTATAAACGAGATGAGCGATTTGAGACGATCTTATAATCCAAGTTTAATAAATGTAATTTCGAGTAGAACGTGCAAATGTATGCCATGTGTTTTTGTGTGTGTCGGTTTGGAAAAAAAACTACACTTTGACACTGACGGGATATAAAAAATACTTTTATTATCATGTAGGTATCCTTTGAAAAAATAAAACTCAGTAAAAAATTAAAATTCCGAAATTTTAATTTTTGACGAAGTGACTAGCAAATAAATCAGGGCTCATAAATCAGTCAGTCAGTCAGTCAGTCAGTCAGTCAGTCAGTCAGTCAGTCAGTCAGTCAGTCAGTCAGTCAGTCAGTCAGTCAGTCAGTCAGTCAGTCAGTCAGTCAGTCAGTCAGTCAGTCAGTCAGTCAGTCAGTCAGTCAGTCAGTCAGTCAGTCAGTCAGTCAGTCAGTCAGTCAGTCAGTCAGTCAGTCAGTCAGTCAGTCAGTCAGTCAGTCAGTCAGTCAGTCAGTCAGTCAGTCAGTCAGTCAGTCAGTCAGTCAGTCAGTCAGTCAGTCAGTCAGTCAGTCAGTCAGTCAGTCAGTCAGTCAGTCAGTCAGTCAGTCAGTCAGTCAGTCAGTCAGTCAGCCAGCCAGCCAATCAATCAACTAGTCATTCAATCAAATATATAAAATTTCAGTAATTTAATATACGGACAAAATTTATTGCGATTCAATGCAAATAGTATAAAAATATATACATTATTTATATTTAAAGACAAAACAGGAATAATAAATTCACAATAATAACCTGAACAGACGCATTTTAATCAATAAAACTTCGTGAACTTGAAAAACAAACCAAAAAAACCTCAAAGAAACCACTCCTCACGAAATCTGACTCACTCGACATTCCAACATCTAATTAATTTTTATCTTGAAAAAAAAAATGTAGCCAAAAAGCAGCTAGACAGTTGGCGACGGTGGCTACAAAAATGTAGCTGTGGCTGGTGGTTGTGGTCCGGTGGCCGGAAGCGCCGTTACACAAATTTCTCTTGCAAACGCACGTTTTCGTGTAGTCGTAGTCGCCGGAAATACATTCAGACGTGAATGACGATTGGTCGATGCACAGCCTCGCAATGACATTTCCGTCTATGGGAAAAATTGGTAAAAGGTTAATAGGTTAAAGGTCAATTATTCAATTAAACATCTTAACGGTCAATCTTTCTAAATATTGTAATAGGTAGGTATTAAAAGGTTAAAGGTCGTTAACAAACTTTTTAAAATATAGCAGTGGGTAGGTGTTAAAAGGTTAAAGGTCAATTACGAACTTTTTTAAATATAGTAGTGGGTAGGTGTTAAAAGGTGTAAGGTTGTTAACGTGACAGAATGTTTCTTCTTAATAGTTATATATATTTAAAATTAAAGAATAAAAACTCATTTCAAGATAATAAAGACCTCATCGATGATATTTAATTAAGGTGAATAGATTCAAACAATTTATCTAAAAATAAGAGAGAAAATTCCACCTATGAGCGCTTTAACGCAATAGTTTCCCTCGCAGAACTGCATGCCAGTGTGGTTGGACACGAAGGGGTCCTTGCAGATACTCGCGTTGATACACTGGTAGCACTGTATGCCATCCACCGAATTCACTTTCAAGCTTGTGATTAGAAATAATTGCGTTGCTAGGAACGATAGCAACACCTGAAATGTTGAGGGTGATGATGAACCTGTCTGATAACACATATCTAGATTGTCTTTTAGGAATTTTCTCAAAATATCGATTCAAAAATCAGTAAAATCAATAGATATATTCATTAAATTACTTTGAAACCATTTTAAAAATGTTATATTACGTTTCAAAGTTTGTAAGCTCGAGTGTATAAATATGCAAACTATAAGCTATATCCTGAAGTGCTATTTCTAACCCATGACTTAGTCATCAAATTCTACGCACATGCAATCAGTCTTAACAGCAATCAGCTTTCGATGCACTGAGGCTAATGAACGTAGATAGACATTAATAAGCCAATGCAATTATTATTATTTATTATTTTTATCTTATTTGTTATTGGCAATATTATTATACTCCATTATTATTATAATTATTAATGTTATTGTTAATTATTATTATTATAACTATTTAAAGATTTGTTCAGTTGCTCGTAAAGTTCACTTGGAATTTTTAATGGCATGCCAAGGGCTATGTTTTGAGATTTTTGGATTTCAAATGAGATTTCAAATTTTATAAAAGATTTATAAAATTTTGAAAGTGACATCTACATAGAGATGGATAATTTTTAAATTTAAAATGAAAATAATTTTTGGAGTGAAAGTAATTAAGCAGTTGTTATTTTCTCAATATAAATAAGTGAAAAAGTTATATCATTTATTTAAATTCATAGAAGTTAAACAAAATATTCACGGTTCATATTGGTAACGGCGCAGACCTCCATCTCACAGATGGTAAGATATCCATATTTATTGTGGTAGCTGAGCTATGAGGTAGTGATGGGCTGATATCAGGTCGGCCTTGCATTTCACCGTTAGTGTTTGTTTTGACCGCAGAGGGGGTAAGTCCCTCTGATGATGTTTGACCCGTTTGCGAAATAATTGACCGATGCCAAGCCTATTAAGAAGTAATTCAATCTCTCAGCTAATGGGTTTGTGAATGTAATTTTTTCATGTATATTGAAAAAGTTTTTTATAAAATTGAGTCACTTATTGATTTTAAATAAATTCTTGCAACTACATGCACAGCTTAAGCAAATAAATTATTGCAATTTGAATGAGAAAAAACAATTATTCAAGTTAGGAGTACAATATAGTTTCTATTCAGTTTTGACACATTCATATTAAACAGTTTTACACAATCTTTTCCTCATTACAAATCATCTTACGCTCCACTGCACAACTTGAAATTGGTACGAATACGTTTAAATTAAACAATTAAAAAATACATACGAAGATTACTCCTTGAATACACATCAACATGGTCAACGTGATATTCCACCTCGATATTAACAACATCCAAATCCCAATCCGTGTAGCTATCATTAGTAGCAAAATAATCGGGTTGCGGTTGCCGTCTATCATTAAGTTCGGACTCGCAACGACACCTTTGCCTACGTAGAACGAGCTACTGGTTGCCGATTTGTTGAGAGCCAAGTCTTGGGCGTAGAGATAATGAATCAAAATTTTGAAAAAAGCTGATCAAATTCGCTTATTGTTCCTGCCTGTACTGATGAAGAACTTAGAAATTTCTTCAAATTTTATCTAGATTTTTGACCAAGACAATTTCTTCGAGTTTGATGAAGTGGTGGAAAACTTATGGAAAGATTACGTTGGTGGGTTTCAGCATTTCGATGCTGACATTGACTTAACGCTGTCTGATGATGAGTTTAAGGACTTTAAAAATATGGACGAGCACTCTAAAAGAATGTTCACCAGCCATGTAACTGTATACATTGAAGAGGATGATGTTAACGGAGATGGAAAACTAGATTTATTGGAGTTTTTGGACATGATGGAGAAGATTATGTACCAAAGTGATTGAAAGTAAATGTTTTTTGTACTGCCGTACAGTAACGACTCGCCTGTTAGTGTTTTTTAATCATTATAAAACCCGCGATTCGTTTGTTTGGCTGTTCAAACATTCCATTCACATTCTTTTTTTGTGTCTTTTTTTAATTATTAATATATTTTCTTAAAATATTTTTCAATTTTTAAAAATTCAAATTATGAAAAAAATACATTGGACAGAAATTAAATTTTTATTGAAAAATATCTCATAATAAACGAACAGTAAGAAAAAACTAGTAAGTTCTCGATCGTAAATTTTCAATTTTTAAAACAAAAATTGCCTAATCAGAGTTTACATAAAATTTTTCTAATTATAATAGTTTCTTTTAATTTGATAAAATTGTTCAAAAAATCTATACAGAAGTCATAATCGACATCGTAATATTGATTAATTATTACTGGTCTCTCTCATTAGCTAGGCTCTTAATGAATAAAACGTTAACAATTAATAGTCCATCCAATTTAAAAGCAGTATTCAGAATGGAAACTCGCAGAGTTATTTCGAAACGTCTTTTGCCCTCAAATCTTTTGCTGTCGGTTGTTTGTGGTTGCCACTTGTGCCTGAAAAGTTGTAAAGTTTTTCTTTGTATGGAGGTGACTTTTGACTGCATGTAGGTTTGGATGGAATGATTGTTTTGGAATTATGACTTCTTCACAGATTTTTTTAAACAATTTAATTAAATTAAAAGAAATGTTAAAAGAATTGAAAAATGAGAATTATTACTGACTGCTGTTGTATGGGGTGCGATCATAACTTTTGGTCAACGAAACCGACGAATTGGTCAAATTTTCTGAAATAATATGCTACACATATGAATGAAAATTGCTTCATTTTATAATAAAATAGGATAAACTAATATTATTATTAAAAATAACACAAAGATAATGTCATAAATAAACCAAACACTACAAAAGATTTGTATAAAGGCTTGTCGGCTGAGACATTTCATTCAGATGAAAATTTCATAAAAAATCAAGGCTCTATTTCCATTTGAACAAATTTACCTAAGTAGTAAATCATTAATGGGATAATTGTTATAAAAATTATTGAAATTATTAAAAAAATAGATAAATAGTTAAATAAAGAGATAGATAAATTAATTAATAAGTAAATAAATAAAATTAGCCTTTGTTGAATGAGCTACGAATATAGCTGTCGGTAGAAGCAGCCGATGGACTAACCAAATTTTCTGTAAAATTTACAATTTAGATCAACTAAATAACTTTTTTTACATATATATATATACAAGTAAATAGCTTAAGTTCTGTTAATTTAAATAGCTAATCAATCAATCAGCCAGCCAACCAACCAGCCAACCAACTTACTAAACAATCAATCATCTAACCAACTAATAAACAGACCAACCATTTTCACTAAATCTTGAAGAAGAAACTGAAAGAGAAATTTAAAAAATTTATCTTGTTAGTTTCACTTTTTGAAGAACCGTTCATCAATTAAATTGAAGATTATTATAGAAGATAACAAATTTGTTAAAGAATGATTATTTAAATATTTAAAAAAATTAAAAAATTTGTGTCGGACAGTTTTCCACAAAAAAAACCCAGCAACACTACCAACCACTTTCCTCCATCAACGAACCCAGGGACGCATCTATGGAAACGTTGTATATTTATAAAACGAATAGATAACTCTGTCAAAAATACCAGCGTTTAACGTTAATCGCCAATATATTACTAATTTCTAGAGTAAATTTCACGGAAACCTTTTGATACAAGAACTGAACTTGCTGAAGCCGGTGTTGGCCCTTGGTCTTATGGTATGGTAATTTAGAGAGAATTGTAAGAAATTTAATTTGTATCAGAAAAATAATTGAAAATATACCGATAAATCACACTATGAATAATGTTTTCTTTAAAAATTTAAAATAGAGCAACCGACCGACAGATGCTTCTGGTCCAATTTTTTCAACATTTTGCTCAATTTTCTCCATACCTTTTTTCAGAAATTAAAAACTTTTGAAACATCTCATGGTTAGAATTTCAAGTTGCCAACAAAGTGACGGTGTGATTGTTAAAACGGTCATCTCCACAAGTGGCTGAATGATGCATATGTACTTGGTAGTTTGATATTGCAATGTTTTAACATCAGGTAATACATAAGAAGAACATTGAAAATTATGCATAACATTGGACATAAAATTCATTTTCTCATTCAAAAAAATGTTTTTGCGTAAGTTAAATAAATAAAATAAATAAATAATATGATAATTGTTGTTTGAATTGGAATGAAATGAAAAAAATTTTGAAGAAAGAAGTCAAACAGTGCCTCTCTTACGCTGAGCTAGAAGAAGCCTCATTGCTGGAAAGTATAATTCACGGTCAATTTAGACGTTTAAAGTTTTATAAACACCTCTCTATATATACCATTTATCATTTTTTTTGTACAAAATATCAACACCAGATCTATTACTACCAACCTACCAATCAACCAACTAACCAACCAAACAACCAACAATCCGACTAACCAACCGACCAACCAGCCAACCAATCAACCAACAATCCGAATAACCAACCAAACAACCAATCAACTAACCAACCAACAATCCGAATAACCAACCAAACAACCAATCAACTAACCAACCAATTAACCAACCAACCAACCGACCGACCGACCGACCAACCAACCAACCAACCAACCAACCAACCAACCAACCGACCAACCATCCGACCGACCGACCGACCGACCAACCAACCAACCAACCGACCGACCGACCAACCAACCAATCAGCCAACTAACCTGATGAAAGCTCAGACGCACTACTCTTCTTTGTTTTACCATTTCTTCTTCCAGCTTCAAAATTCATCAAGTAAATCATAAAAACGTGTAAACAATTTTTAGCACATTATTCTAACTACATTCTCTCTACAATCAGTTTTTCAAATTTTAGCAATGACGTCATTTCAATTTAACATATTCTAATTTTTTGGGTTATTGAAGTAAATTTACGTTTTTAATAATTTTCATTTCAATATACCAAGTATTGTTTCCTTACCTTCAAACACACACTAAATATTTCCAACATAGCACACCTCAATGAATTTAGCACTACATTTAATTGATTACAAACTCCTTTTTAATAACGGTTGCATAACCCAAACATCTACATCTACAACTCAAACATCTACATCACATTAAACAACCGTCATATTAAAAATTATACATTAACGACATCTTCGTCACATCAAAACCTGCCGTCAGACCATCATCTTGCTTCCAAACTGATGTGATTAATGTAGCGATGTTCTTTTACAATCACACCAATCCAATGTGTTTACAGCGAAACAAAAACGAAGTGTATACAAAGACGTATGAATCAACGAGTCGCAAATATTGGTAGGGTTACGTTGCAGTCGAACTCGGTCACTACAAGAGCAAAACCAGGTTTTTAGAACTAACATCTCACAGCTGCCACCGAAATAATTTTTAACTACTAAATTTAATTTTTATCGGGATGAGTAGGTTATCGTGATCATCATATCATCTTTATAATCATCCACATCATCCTTTTCTTCTTCACCACCGTCATTATCATCATCATCGTCGTCATCGTCATCATCATCGTCATCGTCGTCATGATCATGATCATCTTCATCATCGTCATCATCTTCATCATCGTCATCGTCTTCCTCATCATACTCATCATCTTCATTACCTTTCATCTTCCACTTAACAAACAACCCAACGGCCACGGAGACGTAGTACCCTATGGACACACCTACGACCACCACTAATGAACTTGAGCCAAACTCGTACGTGACTAAAGGTGAAGGTGAAGGTCACATGAACTTAATATGGACGTCGCATAAACGTTACATGACTGTAGCATAAGCAATTTTTAAAAATCAAAACGTAAACATAATATACCTATATTATTATCACACACACACACACCTACTTACACACGCATACACACACACACATACACACGCAAAAATACACACACACATACACACAAATTTACACACGCACATAACAATTATATAAACATAATGTGCTTATTTTATTGTTAAATTAGGTCATTATATCTATAAATTGTCAGTTAATTATCGAATAATTGTATAAATTGTTAATTAGGTAGTTGAAATAATTATAGATGATAACGGCGATAATGAATATTAATATTAATGAATATTAATTTTGATGAATATTATTATTAATGAATATTAATGAGCCCTGCCCAACTGACCAATTCCTGGTATCATTTTGGTGACAACCTCTTCAACAACCAATGGTTTTAATGGGTCCACTTGACGATGATGATGATGACGATGATGATGGTGGTGGTGATGATGATAATGCAATGATGACGATGATGATGATCAAGATGAGGATGACGACGATGATGATGATGACGATCAGGATGATCATGATGATGATGAGGAGGATGATGATAATGATGGTGTAAGTGATGATGGTTATAATGGTGAGTTAGAAAGCACAATTCTATATTTCAAACTCGACAAAATTGTATGAAACAAATCAAAAATGACGTTAAATCGATAAGAAGAACCATCCACATAAAACAAACGTAATAGTGGATATAAAATATTCCACAAAAAATTAACAAAAAATTTCACCACACAGAGGAAAAAACACCTCCAACAATTTTACCACACAGAGAAAAAAACACCCCCATCCAACCCTCAAAACAAATAAAAACACTTTGCCAAAGTTTATACTCATCTGAAACTCCAAAATCTACTCACAATTTGATCTACAGTACATCTCTATAGCCGTTTCGTCACCAGTGGTGATCCAAAATGCTTCTTCAGGTAGGTTGAAGACTGGCAGTTTATAACCGTGCGATCCATCTTTAATTACCTGACATCTTTCCCAAGAGCTGTCGTTATAATCCATCTCGTACCACAGAGTTGCAGAGGCTGGAAGTTTGTTCGTGCATCTCCAAGATGGTTTCGATTGATAGCTACGGTGGAGGAATTTTTTTTAAGTTTGCTGCAAACGTTAAAGAGTTAGTTTACCCATGCAAGTAGTTGCTAAATTGATATTTTCTAGCTTCTACCCTACATAACAATGGCTAAATAATAAAAATTATATTTTCGAATTTATTCATTTTTATTTTTGAAATTTATTTCTGAATAATTAAAATTATTACAAAAGATTGAAACTGATGATTATTAGACATATAACAATCAAATAACTGATAGTGTATGACATACGAACAAGATAAAAAAAAGTCTGTTTGAAGTTCAAAAAAAAAACTGAACATACAGCAAAACACCATCGTGACGTCATCACAAGATGACGTCATCGTGACGTCATGCCACACAAACAACCTGACATCATCGGACCAAGCACTGAGGCCAGCTGGCAGGTTTCTTTCCGGAACGATGATGTGGATGGCAATGGTTTCGTTGCTGGCGTTTGTGTACGTTTTGCCTAATTAGTGGATAGATGGATGGTGGAAGACGAATGAAATTATTAATTATTTTTATCACATAATTTTTTATTTATTTTAGTTTTACTTTTGTGAAATAAGGAAGAGTAATTGGTTGAATGGGTAGAATGTTTGGAAAATATAATTAATTTTTTATTGTTCTTCACAATTTATTCAATCATTTAATAAAACTTTGTAGTCAGTCATTCTTAAATATAATTAATATAATAATATGAAAGCTTGGTTTTCTACAGGGTTGGGCAAACATTTTGATGTGAGGGCCGCATTGAAAACTATTGAAAGCTATTTTACATTTGAAGGGCCGCATCTACTTAAATTGCAAATTTTTTCGACCCGGGAGAGAATTTTTTTAAGATTTGTGGCTCCTTTTTTTTGGACATAAAGTCTAACTGACAACCTTTTTCTTGGCAAACAAGAAGACACAAATGATTGTTCGATAGATTGATTGATATAATGCATAAATGAATGAATGAAACAAAAATTGAATTATTCATTCAGCCAAACAAACGACCAATCACTCAACTTGCCCACCAGTCAATCACCTAACTAACCAGCACTGAAATACACTTTAGTGCTACTGAGAACTTTCATGACAGAACTCACGTAGACCTCAACTACCTCTCCAGAAGAACCTATCCAGACGGCGACTGCAAAATTTTGAAAAGATTTGAATTTTTTTAAATTTCAAGATCAAATTCGTCAAGAATTTTTGAAAATTATCTCTTCCCAACGGAATGGGAGTATGGGAAAAAGCAAAATAAAAGGTCGTCAATTCTAGAATTTCAAAAATTTTGCCTAAACGCAAAATTTTTATCCGCCCCTAGGTAAGTGTTCATTTATAAATAGAAGTCGTTGTTGAGTTTTTAACTTTTAAAATTCTGTATACATACCCTACTCAGTACTCAGAGCAAATTTTAGTAACATTAACGATTCACCAAATTAATTTTGCATAATTATGTATTAAATTGTTACTTATTTTAACATTATAAATTATTTTATGTTTAATGATTTTATAGATTCCAAATTAGAAAGAAGTTGCAGATATGATATTTTATAAACGTATATACACACACACACGCACACAAACACACACATAGATACACACACAAACACACACACACAAATAATTGTATTTGATAAAATTTTCAATTTTAAAACTGAAGTAACTTTTATCGGATTGCCTTGACTGTTTAGAGACAAAAGTGAATAATAAGAATGCAGAAATCAGATGCATATTTATGTTTCGCTTCAAATTTCACTGGTATCTATGCTGTAGGTTAAACGATGACTAGATTCTGTGTGTGTGTGTGTGTGTGTGTGTATGTGTGTGTGTGTGTGTGTGTGTGTGTCTGTTTGTTTGTGTGTTTGTTTGTGTGTGTGTTTTTATTTGTGTGTGTATAATTTTGTATGTGTTCTTAGTGTATAAATCTCTTTCCCTCTCTCCTCTCTCTTTCTCTCTCTCTCTCTCTCTCTCTCTCTCTCTCTCTCTCTCTCTCTCTCTCTCTCTGTGTGTGTTGCGTGTGCGATTTTTGAGTTTGTTAATGTCGAAACCAAAAATTAAAATATTTTTTCAGCTTATTGTTTATACATTTACACGATTTACTTATGAGTATGTCCATTTATTTACAATTGACTTCAGGAGAGTGTTGTTTATGTTTTCACAAAAAAGATAAACAAATGAGTGACGTCACAATCAAATAGAAAACATAAACTCCATAAAACATCATAATTCAACATCGGGTCCAACTTATAGGTACATCCTATGGCACTTGTTAAAGGGGATGTATTCAGTAAATTTTTTAAATTTTGGCAGTCGAGTTAATTTTAAAATTTTCACCTAGCACAAAAACTGGCTGACATTCATTATCATTTTGGGGACGTTTTATGTTTATATCATGTTACAAAAAGTATTTCATTTTGACGTTTCGAGTTCTTAATCGTTCAATTAACTTATTAATTCTCGGTTTATAGAGTAAAAAACACACACGTACACACACAAATTGTTATTATTTAAAGCAAATAATTTTATATAAATTAAGTGTTAAGTTTTAAAACTTTTTTTTGAACAAGAAACAGATTAACTTGAATCGACCACAGTTATTTTTATTCATTTAAAAACAGCATTCGTGCTAATATAAAATTTCACAATCAAACGTCAAACGATAACTATGTAAATGTATCACAATCATGAGCATTGTACCATGTACGCACAAACAGTTCTTTCTTAATGCGTACTGCACATCAAGATTTCATGTAACATCCTTTTACAGGTCTAAAGGTCCAACACACTCATTCTTAGTACAGAGAGCCAACAACAGCATACATTCTAACGGAGTATACGAATTCAAGCTAAGCAAAGCATCACACACAAAGAATTTAATAGGTAGAAATCGAGTCGTGTTCGAAACCGGTCAGTGCGAAACAGCACCAAGCGGCCTTAACCACTCGGCCATCATACCGCCAAAACTACTACTGCACTGCTATTTCATGGCGTTTTCAGACGAATTTGGTTACCAAAGCACTTTGAGGTTTTAGAAAATTGGTCAAGATGTTATTTTTAAAATTTAAAAATAGATGTTTTGTTATAGGTTAAGGATTGAAGTTATAAAATAATTTGGTGGGACGATACAAATTTTAAGTTTTGCTGAAAGAGACAATAGTTTATTCGGCTTTTAAGAACTTTGTTAAACATTTTAAACAAATTTTGACTGAATTATTTTAAAATATGTAGATACGTATATATATATATATATATATATATATATATATATATATATATATATATATATATATATATATATATACAATTGCATTTATATGAATAAAGGCATTGAATTTAAATTTTAAATAAATTTATTTCAAACGCTATTCTTAAATATTTTTCTTAAATTCACATTTCATAAATCACATAAATCACAATTGATATATCAATAATAATAAAATAATAACAATAATATATATAAACAAAAATAACAACAATAATATATATAAAACCTTTTCAGAAAATGGCTTCTCAGCTGAATAGCGTTAACATTAATATCAGCTAAACAATGAAAGCCACACAACAACAACGATGACGATGAGATTATGATAACATAGAGGGTAAATTTGAAGATGGCGATGATAACATAATGACATAGAGAGTGTAAATTATTGAGAACAGTGACGTGAAGAATAAAATGCTGAAGCTGATGACATGATGTTGGAGACAGTAAACATTAAGGATGATGAGGACGGTGGGGATGACGATGATGATAGACAGAGATGATACAATGATATGAACGACGATAAAAATATGATAACGCCGAAGGCGATGACGACATTATCCAAGTTGATGATAACACGAATAACTTCATTGTTCAATCTTTGTCAACCTCTCTCTCCTTCTCTCTCTCTCTTTTTTCTCTCTCTCTTTTTCTCGTTCTCTTTCTATCTCTCTCTCTCTCTATCTCTCTCTCTCTAAAAATTATTATATAGTGCTTATGATAACTTTCAGCCCTGTAGTGTACAACAATAGTACAATAGACAACACCCAAGACGTGCCAACAACTTGTGTGTGTGTGTGCGTGTGTGTGTGTACATGAGTGTGTGGAAGTATGTATGTGTATGTGTGTGTGTATGTATGTGTGTGTGTGTGTGTGTATGTATATATGTGTTAGTTTATGTATGTATGTATGTAAGTGTGTGTGTTTATGTGTGAGAGTGTATGTATGTATGTAAGTGTGTGTATATGTGTGTGTGTTTGTATGTGTATGTGTGTGTGCGCGTGTGTGTGTTTATGTTTGTGTAAATATGTGTTTATGTGTGTGTTTTTGTGTTAAAAAATTCCTTTCAACATTAAGAACACTGAAAATATCATAGTTGGTGTTTATATAAGCAATCGATGATTCATAACAATAACAAAAACAACAACAATAATAATGAAATTATAGTTACTATTTTATTATAACATTGTTAATATTAATAATATTATTATTATTACTATTATAACCACGACTCAATGTGAATGGTTGGCTGAAAATAATTCAGCTTTGAGTAGAAGAGAATTTTTTAGAGTCCTCCTTCGAATTTTAAATTTATTAGAAAAATTTTTTTAAAGTCTTTCATTTAATGCGCCGTATATTCTTTTAAATTTAATTTAATCAAGTTTATTTTGGTATTCAATCTTTCATTCATCTAACCACTCGTTACATTCAACCATTTATTCATTCATTACCTTCAATCATTTACTCATTCGTCCATTCATCCATTCGTTCGTTAGTTCGTTCGTACTTTCGTTCGTTCGTTCATTTTCTTATACATTCATTGATTCACTCATTCATTCTTTTACTAACTGTCAATTAAATTGGTATTCTTGTCTGTAAACGAAATTCTTCACAATGTGCTGCTAAGCCCGTCACAACTTCAATCCTACTCTTACTTAAACTGAATGAATGAGTGAGTGAGTGAGTGAGTGAGTGAGTGAGTGAGTGAGTGAGTGAGTGAGTGAGTGAGTGAGTGAGTGAGTGAGTGAGTGAGTGAACGAACGAACGAATGAATAAATGATTGAATGAATGAAGGAAGGAAGGAAAAAACAAATGAACGAACGAACGAATGAACGAATGAATGCAAAGTTATTTTTAAGATTCATTAAATTCACCATGACAAATTTTCGAATCACTGCCTCGCTAATATTTTTGAGATTGAAATGCTCATTATTCCAACCATTGTTATTACAGCTACTAACCAATCCCAAAATTATTTCATTTCTTACATTTCGCAAAAATCAAACCTGGACATTTTTGGCAGGAAACATTAAACAGAATTGACGTAAAATAATTAGTTTTTTTGTCAATTTAATTAATATTTTCAGATGAGGACTTTGACATAACTCGAGATAATGTGTGTTGAAGGTAAATAAAGTAGCACTAAATGCTAAAGATAAATTAAGTACCGTCTTTAGATTCATATTTGCTTAATCTTAACATCAATGATTCTACATATTTGTTCAAACATGAGTTCAACATATTAGAAAATTAAAAAAAAAGATTTTTCACTCTGTTTTTGTAAAAAATTACTCATTGGTCATAAAATTCGTTGCGATATAATTAGGTATATTCTACTGCAGTAATGTTCCTCATAGCATTGCTTGTAAAGCTTGCATGTATGTCAGTCGTAAATTTCGATGAAACTTTTGTTTCCTATCACGGCTAATGATACAAGGTGCAGTTGATTTGCTAAAAATGATAGTGCAGAAAGGGTACATTTTTCATCCCTTCAGGTAAGAAATATGAGGCGGCGAAATGAGCCAGACCCTGGATTTTTAGGTGAAGATGGATGATTTTTTTACATTCTAAAATTGATGGCCATTAGTTGCTAATCGAATCGCTTTATTACTATTATATATTCCATAGAGAATCCTTCCTTGCTGATGGGGCGATTAATAACAGGACATTGAAACTGAATTATCCATATAAATATATTAAATTTAAAGGTGTAATATGATCAAATTAAACAATTTTGATTTTAGGAAGTGATTAATATCACGAGGTACTCACATATCAGCTTCAGTCATATTTTAACTGAACCTACAACCAATCTAAGCCGCATGATCTTTTTTCATTTTCAATTGAATAACTTAAAACTCTACAGTACATATCTTGCACACGTACCGATTTTCGATTCGTTTAAACGCACGCACACACAAGCACACGCAAACATATGCGGATTTCAAACCATTGATGTGTGACGATGAGTGGCTCAATATTACACTGTATTCGTTTTGTTGAGCTGTCTTTTATTATTTTTATAAGAAATTATAAAATCATGTTATTGTAAGATCTCTTCTATATAATCATTTCTTTTAGAAAGATTAGTCATTTCAGAGAAGAGTTCGTTTTCTTTTTCAAGACCTAATTTTTCTTAAAATGTTCAGATTTATTTTGATTTTTTGTTCATTAATGAATGCAGTAGCCTCACAAGGTTAGTTCAAAACTATTTTTTCAAGTTTTTTTTTGAGAGAGTTAAGAAAAAAAAAACAAAAATTTTTCAGTTTTCTTAAACCAATTAACCTGCCCGTCATGTTGTCTACAGCGTATCAATTGTTAAAATTGTTAATAGCCAACATATTGAAATGATTCACACAAACATAATTCGAAGCATTTTTGAGGTTTTGAAACTAATCAATATTGTTATTATTATTATCTATTATTTTTATTATTGCTGTTATTATAATAATAATATTAATTATTATTATTATTATTATTATTACGAATCTCTCTTCAACAACTCTCCCAGAGGCGTCAAAAACGAGACAAACAAACAAAAAAACAAACAAACAAACAAACAAACCAGGAATCTGTTCGCAATCGAATCCACTCACTACAATAGCAATGCCAGAAACTTTACCGTCATACCATAGCGACACCAAATTTAAAAAACCTATAATAATATTCAAATCCACAAAGTGAAATGACATAGCTGAACTTGAAAACCAATTAAATTAAAGTAACATTTAAAGATGCACAGTAAAATAAGGCAACATTTTTCAACACAGCTTGTACATGGGTGCCTTACGAAAACAAGCGAATGTACGGAGGAGTTGTCAACTCAGCTGCTTATTCGTTAACTGACTGTCAAGCAAGTTGTACCGGTAACTCCGGATGTCTGGCTATCGAATGGGATTTCAATATGCCCGCTGGATCCCAATGTTACACATTCAAAACTTCAAATGAACCAACATTTTCTGCAAATGGAGTCACCCACTACATTTGTTCAGGTTGATTTAAAAATAATATCAAAAACGCTTTCAATGCCATGATTTTTGTCAAATATTTTTTTTGTAATTAGACCAGGCTTTAATTTCACATTTCACATTCGTACAGAACAATGTATCATACGTCTTAGAAATGTTTGATGGATAAAGATAGATCGTTTAACGTTGTCAATTTAAAATTTTGATAAAAAAAACAATTAATTTTTTTACTTAGACACAGTTATTACAATTAAAATAACTTTAAAACGATAATAATGAGGCTCTTTGCTCATATAAGGTTTACACATTGTTTAATATATTTTATATAAAAAATTTATGCAATGTAAATTAATCTGATTGTTGTAAGAGTCGGTGATATTTTTATATGCGTGCAAAACAAAAAAAAGAGGCAACAAAATAAACGCTTGCGCAAAACAATCAGAATCAGATAATTTTCTCTTGTCGTTGTTTAATTTAGGGTAGACTTTTTCGAGATTGGTTTAATTGAATAACTCAAAACGCCTTCAAATCCTGGCACTTCAAATTCAAGGTCTAACAAACTGTAACTGGAACAATTTTTACAACCTTCGAATGAATGGCGGGATTCTTCAATCTTCTGCATCCACGCTGGACAGTTGCAGAAGTATCTGCATCAACATTGCTGGCTGCCAAGCGGTGGAATTTGTAGCAGCATACCAGCAATGCTTCACATTTACTCAATCAGATTATCCAAACATACAAGCTAATGGGATTATTCATTCCATTTGCACAGGTTGGAAGTTTGATGTGTTTTTTTAATAAATAGTGTTGTTTTAGTTGTTCAATATCATTGACATTATCACTAATGCTTTATATTGTATCACCATTTTAATCACCTAGGTTCAACCGGGACTACCAACGTACCAGGTTCAATATGAATTTTAAAATGATTTCTATATATTCCATTCAACATATTACTTATTTATTCAATTTCCATACAGTACTAACAAAGCGTTTAAAAATTAATTTGTGTATTCAAAAAATAGAAAAAGTTGACAAATTGTGTTAAAACCAGCAGATACAGATACATATAGGTATTAAGGCGCCATATAACTTATCATCCGCTAGTAATATTAAAACAGGCGCTCATAAAAGCGCTTCAGATGATTTATAACTTTTTTCAATATTTAAAACTTAAATCAATAATAGAGCAATCCTTTAATTCACATAGCATTATTGATAGAGTTATTCACATTTTTCACAAATTTCATTTTTCAGGTTGTTCGTGGACTACATACACCAACCTCCAATTGTACGGAGGATTGGCTCAACCCACAGTGACTTCATTACCTGCCTGCCAAAATCTTTGTGCCAGTACTCCAGGATGTCAAGCCATTGAATGGGTTCCTAATAACGGCGTAGGCTCGCAATGTTTCACATTCACTTCTTCAGCTGTTCCGACTATCAGCGCATCTGGAATTAACCATTATATTTGTTCAGGTTGAAAAAAATAAAATTATTTCATATAAATACACGCAATATTAATTTGTAAATATTAAAGTTTTTTTACCTAATCTATTTCTAAATAATTGCTTTTTTCACGCAGGAACTACAGCGGTCACATCAACACCAGGTATGATTATCATAAAAAAATTGGTTTCCTATCAAAAACAAAACATAAAATATCTTTTACTTTATTTTTTGTCATGTTTAATAGTTATTTTTGTATAAAACTACACTTAAATAAAATAAACACTTATGACATTATGATTATATTTTACTCATAACCAACCGGTTATGTTCCATACTTTTTAAAATATCTTGATTAAGCAGAATCAATAGAGTTTTGTCATTATTGGATCACAACAGTTTAAGTCAAAATATTTTTTAAAGTTTAATTTTTTTGGGCTTTTTCAACCGAATCTACAATTCCAGCTTATCATTTTTGTCAATATTTTTCATCATTTCATATAACTTTAATAATATATCTATTCTCATCAGGAATAAACTGGTTTAATTGTTTAAAAGAAAGCATCGTAACGTAATTTTTTTCGTTTAAGTTTACGCTTTCGGTTCAATCAGCAAAACGAATTTCGGTTCGGTTCCGGTTTTCGTTCCCGAAATAAATTCGTTTTTTTTTATTTTCGTTTTTCCTTCGAAACTTAATTTTTTCAAGCATAGTTCCTTAAATGCTTAAAACGGACATACGACATCCAGCAATCACCACAATGCCAATTTGATTAAATTGTAGATTGTGAATAATAATAAGAAATCATTAACAAAAATGATTTTTAAATACTGTCAGTATAAAAACAAACGATTCTAATATTTTTTTCAACAAATTAAAAAATTCATTACAAAGATATTTTGAAATCACTAATAAATATAAAATTATTTCAAAAAAGATGAAATTTTTTTTTGATTATTAACATATCTTCTAAAATGTTTTCAATGAAACCACTTCTGCAGTCTCTGAGGATAAATTTTAATCAAGAAACAGATGCTTCCAGGCTCACTTGTGTAGTTGGTATTTCAAAATTTTGAAGATGATCGCACTTGAACAAAATTTTATCCGATTATACTAGATTTGTCTTCACGTGGCATTTCTTATTCAAATTATCGGCAAACTCAGGCAGAAATACAAACGAACACTTAGATAACAATAATAACTAACATAGACTTTTAAAATACAAAAAATTATCTAATTATATTTATTCTGAATTTAACAAAAATATTTTCTTTTCAATTTTTTAGCATCGAACCGTTACTTATTTCGTTACGGTTTTCGGTTAGGGTTAAACTAGCAAACAAAATTACGGTTCGTTACGGTTTTCGTTCCAAGCAAAATTTCAGTTTTTAAGGGTTTTCAGATACGGTCCAGTTCTCTTCGATCTCCTGGTTTGAAACATGTTCATGTACAACTGCCAGATAACTGTGAGTTAACCACAAATTTAAATTTATAGGTTGTTCGTGGACTACATACACCAATCTCCAATTGTTCGGAGGAATGGTTCAATCTTCAGTGACTTCATTACCTGCCTGCCAAAATCTTTGTGCCAGTACTCCAGGATGTCAAGCCATTGAATGGGTTCCTAATAACGGCGTAGGCTCGCAATGTTTCACATTCACTTCTTCAGCTGTTCCGACTATCAGCGCATCTGGAATTAACCATTACATTTGTTCAGGTTGAAAGTAACAAAATATTTTTATTTAAAGACACGCAATAATAATTTATAAATATAAACTACTTTTATTCAATCTTTTTCTAATTATTCGTTATTTTTACGCAGGGACTACCGCGGTCACATCAACTCCAGGTAAAATTACCATAAAAAGATTGGTGTAATATCATAAACTAAACATCGAAAAATCTATAACTTTATCTTTGTCAATTTTAATAGTTTTTTATAGTGTGAAATTACACTAAAATAAAATAAACATTTTCAACATTATGATTATCTTTTACCCATAACTAACCAATTAGATTTTATACTTTCCAAAATATCTTAATTACACAGAATCACCAGGGTTTTATTATAATCTTATATTTAAGCCAAATTGTTTTTCATCGTTCACATTTTTTTCATCTGAAAACTTGAGATCCGAAAATTCCAGCATTAGATTGTTGTCAATAATGTTCAACAGCTCATACAACACTCAATAAAAACAAGAATTTTCATCAAAAATTAACTGGCTTAATTCTTACAAATATGTTCCTTTTCAACTGAGAAAAACTTTAGTTATGAACAATCATTCCAAATTTCATTTTTCAGGTTGTTCGTGGACTACATACACCAACCTACAAATGTTCGGAGGAGTGGTACAACCTTCAGTGACTTCATTACCTGCCTGCCAAAATCTTTGTGCCAGTACTCCAGGATGTCAAGCCATTGAATGGGTTCCTAATAACGGCGTAGGCTCGCAATGTTTCACATTCACTTCTTCAGCTGTTCCGACTATCAGCGCATCTGGAATTAACCATTACATTTGTTCAGGTTGAAAGTAACAAAATATTTTTATTTAAAGACACGCAATAATAATTTATAAATATAGACTACTTTTATTCTATCTATTTCTAATTATTCGTTGTATTTACGCAGGGACTACTGCGGTCACATCAACATCAGGTAAGATTACTTTAAATATATGAAGTCATATAATAGACTTAACATCAAAAAATCTATTTCTTTTTTTTCTTGTCAAGTTTAATAGTTATTATGGTGTGAAATTACACCAAAATAAAATGAACATTTTCAACATTGTGATTATCTTTCACCCATAACTAACCAATTAGATTTCATACTTTCCAAAATATCTTAATTACACAGAATCACCAGGGTTTTATTATAATCTTATATTTAAGCCAAATTGTTATTCATCGTTCACATTTTTTTCATCTGAAAACTAGATATCCAAAAATTCCAGCATTAGATTATTGTCAATAATGTCCAACAGCTCAAATAACACTCAATAAAAAAAGAATTTTATCAAAAATTAACTGGCCTAATTTTTAAAAACATGTTCATTTTCAACTGAGACAAATTATGGTTATTGAAAATTTTTCCAAATTTCAATTTTCAGGTTGTTCGTGGACTACATACACCAACCTCCAATTGTTCGGAGGAATGGTTCAATCTTCAGTGACTTCATTACCTGCCTGCCAAAATCTTTGTGCCAGTACTCCAGGATGTCAAGCCATTGAATGGGTTCCTAATAACGGCGTAGGCTCGCAATGTTTCACATTCACTTCTTCAGCTGTTCCGACTATCAGCGCATCTGGAATTAACCATTACATTTGTTCAGGTTGAAAGTAACAAAATATTTTTATTTAAAGACACGCAATAATAATTTATAAATACAGACTACTTTTATTCAATCTTTTTCTAATTATTCGTTATTTTCACGCAGGGACTACAGCGGTCACATCAACTCCAGGTAAAATTACCATAAAACGTTTGGTGTAATATCATAAACTAAGCATCGAAAAATCTATAACTTTATCTTTTGTCAAGTTTAATAGTTATTATGGTATAAAATTACACCAAAAGAAAATAAACATTTTCAACATTGTGATTATCTTTTACCCATTACTAACCGATTAGATTTCATACTTTCCACAATATCTTAATTACACAAAATCACCAGGGTTTAT